TTTCCTTTTATTCCTAAACATATAGGGTTAAGCCCTGCAGACACAGCTGGAGTGTCATTACTGGTGCACAGATCTTAAGTGGAGTTCCCTTAGGTAGCTGATTGTTTGGATTATCTTTCTTTTTAAAACAGCACTGCCACTTTTAAACTTGTCCTATATATATATATATATATATATATATATATATATATATAGGATTATTCGTATAGGTCCAGCAGACAAGACACCAAAATACAAGAGTATTGCAGAATGGTTTTAGTATTTGATCAGCATTGCTTCAGACCTGAGGAAGAGGGGGGAAAACTCTGGAAAGCTTGTCTTTTAAATATAATTGTTGGTCCAATATATTTAATTTCTATATATATATATATATATATATATATATATATATATATATATATATATAATCTACCGTATATATCTATATAACTCATTGCATCTTACAATACTCTGGTATTTCAACATATACATATAATGCCAAGCTATTTTGAGCAGGGCTATATATTGTGTCTGCCAGTAACTTGCTGTATATTATTGAAAGAGAGTGGGCCTCTCCTATATATAGATCTTGTTGTGTCTGCCAGTAACTTGCTGTATTTTATATTATTATTGTGGTTATTGACAGAGAGCAGGCATCTCATATATATACACACACACACACACACACACACACACATTGTTGTGTCTGCCAGTAACTTGCTGTATATTATTATGGTTATGACAGAGCGGTCACGGTGCAGTGAGCGGCCGGTAGACCCGCAGTGTATGTGTGTGTGTGACTGAGGGTGAGTGTGTGACTGAGGGTGAGTGTGTGACTGAGGGTGAGTGTGTGACTGAGGGTGGGTGTGTGACTGAGGGTGAGTGTGTTGGTGAGTGTATGACTGAGGGCGAGTGTGAGACCGAGTGTGAGTGTATGTGTATCCGTTCTGGAACGCGCCGTTCGTTCTATCCCGCAGAGCGGGGAGGGGAGGAGGGGGAGAGCCGGGGCACTAGGCCCGAGCCTGACTCTAAACAATAACAACCCGCAGCCAGCGCCTCGCACCCTCCTCCCCTGCCTCACGGAAGCAGCGCCCCGGCGGCCTCTCACACACACAGGCCCGCGGGCCGGAGCCGTTACCTGGTTAAACTCCTCGCCGACGTCTGCGTAGATATCGATGTGATCCACTCCGTCCGCCATCTTCTGCCTCGAGCAGCGGCGCGAGCCAGTCACGGGGGGGGGAGGGAGGCGGGGAGGGGGAGAGCAGTGGGCGGGGCCAACTCCAAGAAGGGAAAGAGGGCAAAGCGGGAAAAATGTACGTCACTTCCGCTTCCCCTGCCCTCGGCCCCTACAGAGAGCTGGGGCGGAGTTGTTGGCACACTCCCCTCCAAAGCTGAGATTGTTTTTGATTTTTTTTTTTTTAAATAAACTTTATTGAACAATTGATGCTGACAAAAAAAAATGCAAAACTAGAGTACAGTACTGTATAATATGAATTAGGTCAGGTCACCAACAAAAGTAGATCCCTAGATGTTGTAGGACTACAGCTTCCACAATGCTTTGCTGTTCTAAAGGCATGAAAAGCATCATGGGAGTTGTAGTTTTATAACATCCAGAGATCTACCTTTTGTGACGCTTCAGCTGTTGTGGACTACATCTCCTATAATGCTCTCATAATTCTGGCAAAGCGTCTGGGGTAATGCAGTCCGCAACACCGGGATTACTGAAGGCTGCTTATCCCTGATACGTAATAACCCTTGGTGAAGCGGTTATTGTAGAAAGTAAACAGCGGTTTAACTTTCATGCTACAGATTGCTGCTTGAGTCTGATAGGAAATGTAGTCCACGGCGGGTGCAGTGCCACCGTTTAGCCAATTCTCATGTTATACAGACTGGCCGGACTGCAATGTCAATTATATTGTTATATATTGGTAAATACGTGATCTAACATTCCCGGGATTTGGATATATTGATGTGTGTTTAAAGTTTAATTTAATATTTTATTGCAAAGTATAGACGATCAGATATAGCATAATGAAAATAACTAGCAAAACTTATATGATGCAAAATTTCAATGTTATGTGGGAAAAGGGAGTTAAAGGGACACTCCACAGCCCAAATGTTATTAAAAAAAAATGACTGTTTAGTAAACAGTATCCCTTTAAGTGGAATCATCCCAACTGCCCAGATGGCATTGAACTTATGATAGTACTGAGTATCTTGTGTGACATTTGTTTCTAGAAATTCATTCTTTGTGGGTTATATTGACAACCACTGGGATAGAAGGCAGGTTTGGGGATTTTCAGAGTTCTCTATTACAAGTCTTTGACTGGACCATGGCGCAGCTCCTGTGACTTGAGACAATTACCAATTAGGGCAATTAGCAAAGAGACAGACACATGCATTTTTCTTTAGAGAAATGGAAACAATGCCAAGGTGTAAATGAGTATAGTTTTGTACAACATCTAAAGGCAGGTTAATAAAAAAATTTAAATCTTGTGTTCATCTCTCAAAGTTTTCATGCAGCATTGAGTAGGAAAAAGGAGGAAAGTTGCTCATTTTATGACGCCTGGTTTCAAACATAGAGGAAAAGGCCTAATGGTCTAAGGCTCTTTTGATGGATTCAGAGTCAGCACAAAGTGAGTGGTACCTTGAACCAAAAAAACTACCACAACAGTTTGCAGCGCCATGCATTACAATCTGGTATATGCCTTGTTGGTAAGGGATTTATTCTAAAGCAGAAAAGCTTTATGTGTGAAGAGTGTGTAAACAAACGTTGACACTTTTATGAATTTACCTGGTTGCACCCCCTGGCTTTTTAAGCAGACAGCAGGTAATGTTACTTCCTGGTTGTTTAACTCAGAGGATCTAAATTCTAGAGCATAGCTTTCCAAACTGTGTGGTGCAACACGTTAGTGTGTTGGCTGCACAGTCTAAGTGTGTCGTGCAATTTAGGTGTCCGACCGGAAGAGGAGCCCATTGCACAGTGGTCCCCTTCTGCCAGCTACTTCATGTAGCGTGGCCGAGCAGGTGGACCACGGTAGAAGAGCTTTTGTTTCCCCTGCCTGGTCTTTTTCCCCTACCTGGTTTTCCTGTCAGACTGGGCAGAGGAAATAGAAGCTCCTCTACCGCGGTCAGCCTGCTCGGCCACGCTGCATGGAGGGAGGTGAGGCTGAGCAGGAACAGGAGAGGGGACAGAGAAGGGCACAGAAGTAGAGAGGGGACAAAAGAACCACAGAGGTGGGACAGAAGAAGGGCACAGGAAGGGAGGGGGCACAAAGAGACACACAGAGGGACTGAGGAGGTCAGAGAGACCGGGGGAGGAGAGGGGACAAAGAGACACACAGAAGAGCTGGGAGGAATAGACACAGAGGGGAAGGGAAAAAAGAAACACACAAAGGGGTTGGGGGAGAAACAGATGCACAAAGGGGCTGGAGGAAGAGAGATGCCTGCCAGCCACACCAGTCTGCCACAGCAGCCAGCAATAAAAAGTAAGGTGAAAAGAGCCAATTTGAGCTGGGTATGCTATATTACTATTTAGTGAATAGGGGCCAGAGTGTTAGAGAGATGGTTGAGGGGTCATAAATGTACTGCGCATGCAAAGCATGCGGAAAAGGGTTGAAACCACTGATTCCACGCACTTCTCTTGACGTGGCCGCAACTGAAGTGATGTGTTCAAAAAATAGAACGTCGTCTCTACCACCACTGTGTCGCGAAATGATGCATGTCTGAAAAGTATGTCACCAACATGAAAAGTTTAGAAATCTCGGCTTTAGAGGCTGTCAATTAAAATATTCACTATAGGCACATCCTATATCAACTTTAACCCATTTCAAGAACTGAAAGTCTTCACTTTTGTCATCTTTGAGTATTTCTCTATGAGAAACATTGAATTCACTGCTTCTCTTTGAGAAGTAACTGATTGGCTGAACACCACAACTGACACATATACGCCATAGGGCACAAATGATTATCTATGAGAAACATACGATTGGCCCAAGATCTCAGAAGATGAGGAGCAGCGTCTGCTTCGAAATTGGGAAAGTTCAGGATAAAAGGTGAGTTTAACTTATTTCTTTCTTTTTATTTACTGATAACGGGGGAGGGGGAGGACAGGAAGAACAATGCTAACTTTATACATAAATATGGTTATTTATAACATTATAGTGTTCCATGACAGATGAAATAAAGCTATGCCATACATTACCTGTTTGCACTAAATTAATTTGCCCACTAGAGGTCAGAGCTATACCATTAACTTATTGGTCTTTAAAGGACCATTCACACCAATTCAGCTTGCAGAAGTGCCTTGTCTACAAGGAATATCCTATTTTAATTCTGTTTCATAAAAGTGCAGATTTCTAGGAGAAATCGTCACTTTTATAATTAAATTCTGAAATGCCTCCTGGCTGTCAATCAGACATCCAAGGAGCTTTGCTACCTCCTTCTGTGGGCTCCCTGTTTCTCCCAGTTGGTTTTCCAGAGACCTCAGACAAGAGTCTTTACTCTTCCAGGACCTTCACAAACCTCAGACCAGGCGCGTCACGTGTAAGGCTGTGGGTACAGGCTAACTCAAAATAGATTCACGTATCAGTCATGATTGTTAAATGCCTCATGTGTCTACAATGTAAAGTACTTTTTTTGTAGTTAACACCAAACCTACCCCTATTTTTGGATGTTGTAAAAGGATTCAGCAAAACACAATCAAAAGCAAAGTTTCTAAGATCTTAGACTGACTTTATTTCCAATGACCAAGCAAGGAGTTTGTGGTCATGGCTGTGTTTAAATAAGTAAGTAAACAGTAGTAATACCCCCGACAATGGTACAAATTTAAGGAGTTTGCTATTTACAAACAAAACACATATTAAGTAGGTGTATGATTTCTTGGAAAGTCTGCTTATCTAAGCCATGATTTTGAGAAGTACACAAAGTACATTAAACTGGCCATTGTCTAGATTCTAGACAATAGCTTGGCCAGTTTTATGTACCTGCATTTTTCGCTCTATAAGACGCACTTTTTTCCTCCTCAAAAGTGAGGGGAATTGTCTGTGCTTCTTATGGAACAAATGTGCCCTTCTCTCTCCCCCCCTTGGTCGCCGGTAGGTCTCCTACCTTTACTCCTACCCAGGAGATTCAGTTTCCTGTTCCCGGCCGGACTGAAAGGAAGTGCTCACTGAGTGAGCACTTCCTTTCAGTCCGGCCGGGTACAGGAAACAGCAGTTCCTGTACCGCGGTGCGCACTGCTCCGCTCGGCTGCGCTACAATAAAGGTAGGAGACCTACCGAGGACCAAGGGGGAGAGAGAGGCACTAAGGGACAGGTGGAGGGGTGGTAAGGAACACTATGGGACAGGGGGTTGGTGGAAGAACACTGTGGGACAGGTTAGGGGGGTGGTAAGGAACACTAAGAGACAGAGGGGGAGAGAACACTATGGGACAGGGAAGGGGAGTGGGTGGTAAGGAACACTATGAGATAGGGGATGGGGAGGAAGAACATTATGGGACATGGAAGGGGAGTGGGTGGTAAGGAACACTATGAGATAGGGGATGGGGGAAAGAACATTATGGGACAGGGAAGGGGAGTGGGTGGTAAGGAACACTATGAGATAGGCGATGGGGAGGAAGAACATTATGGGACAGGGAAGGGGAGTGGGTGGTAAGGAACACTATGAGATAGGGGATGGGGGGGAAGAACATTATGGGACAGGGAAGGGGAGTGGGTGGTAAGGAACACTATGAGATAGGGGATGGGGGGGAGGAACATTATGGGACAGGGCAGGGGAGTGGGTGGTAAGGAACACTATGGGACAGGGCAGTGGAGTGGGTGATAAGGAACACTATGGGGTAGAGGAGTGGGTGGTAAGGAACACTATGGGACAGGGTAGGGGAGTGGGTGGTAAGGAACACTTGTTTTTTTTTTCTTGTTTTCCTACTCTAGAAACTAGGTATGTCTAATGGTCAGGTGTGTCTAATAGAGCGAAAAATACGGTACTTCATGGTCAGCCAGGGCCGGACTGGGAATGAAAAGCAGCCCTGGAAAAAAATTCTATACCAGCGCCATAATGCATCGTGCCAGCATAGTGTGCTGATATGAAAGCGGGGAAAACAAACTGAAAACTATTACTCAAACGTGAAAGAAAGCATTCATAGGGCTTCAAAATAAACAAAAGAGCGGATCTGTTGTAAGAAGTCGTGCATTTGCATATAATCAATGTTTCAGTCCAACTACCTTGACATATTAAGGCGGCACTGTCATGCCGAACTTACCTTT